TTATCACTTCAGAGAATGCTATGTGATGAATATGTGGTAGTAGAAGGTTGATGTTACTCGCTCACAAAAAATCAAGCTAATTAACAATCGCTTGATTTTTATGGAGCTTCAAAGTTGCATGTCAAAATGAAATTATTTATTAGCCAACCTAATATATTAAGATTGAACGAAACATAAATAGTTTTAGACTGCGCAAAATCTTGTTTCAAACTTGAACCACCCTTGCATGGAAGATTTTGATGAGACCTGGTCTTTTTCAACTATGTTTATGCTATCCGATGATCAGCCAACACCAATGATCCATTACCAACACTTATAGCATAAATCAGGTAGCTACCGGAGCCAAGGGTGAGAAGGCGGTCAGCCAGCCTTCTTCACCATAATTTCTGGTTCCGCCCCTTTTCGCTGCGCTCGCTGATAATTCAGTGAGCATTTCGCATGCCCTCGTCCTGCACGACCACGGAGTTTTTTTTTTTGGGGTCCACCGGGCCCTGACCTCATTATGATCTGTGTTTAAGAGTGACACTTTTCTCTGATGATGGTAGACTTATTCAGACTAATAATCATCATCCTATACAATTTTCAGCAGATAATGCGCAGATATTACTCCTCCACCTCCATGTTATCCCTAGGTTTAGTAAAATCACAAGAATAAATTTTGTCAATAAAGAATATGAGGCGAACTATCAGCATTTTTGTTCCTCTGACCGCAATACTTATATTTTCAAATCTTTTCGTTTGAATTCATATATAAATTCATATATATAGTTTATATATTCATGTCATGTATATAGAAATAAAATGAATAACTATGAAAAGGAATTGGTCCCGTATGCTCCTAACCCATATCCTGGCCGTAGTCCTTATAAATAATTCTTTATTTAGAAATTCTCTTTTTCAAATCAAATCATGCTTCCAGACCCAAAATCCTTGGAAATACTGCAGCCGTCTAAACTCTTCAAAATCCGCGGATTAATCTTGTCTGCTCTCCGTTTTCTATTTCCACAATTAGTGCAACATACAAATCCTTGGATTAGGGATTCAAACAGCATAACAAACAGATCAAACGGATATCTCGTACAGTATTTGATTCCGTGATTTGACTGCGTCGTCAACCGCTCGACGTCAGCTGATTATTGCATCAGTTATTGAATTACTATATATTGTCTGGTAACTTTGCACAACTAAACTTGACCAAGTTATGCTTTGATAGGGAATTTTTTTAGCCAAATTTTTTCTATCATCTAATCCTTTTGAATGTCAAAACATCCAGAGCGATGGCTTTCTTGCTCAACATGCTTTTAGTTCTTTCAAACCATTGCGATGATTACAAGAGTAGAAGGAGGCGCTCACTTTGGCTTGGCTAGTTATTTTGAAGTGTGTGCTAACTTTACCACTCTATAAATCTAGCTTTCGACAGCCTAGAATAGCTCAGCTTTCTTTTTCCATCAAACAAAGAGTAAATAATGTTGGCGCTTGAGAAAGGCTTTCCTGCTTCCAATTTTGTGAACCTAGATGGGCTTGAATTTTCTCAGATCATATTGATTTGTCCGTGTTCCAATGTTTTCGAGGTTTCGTAGATTATCTGAGGTGTCAGTTTTTGATGCTACAATTACTGTAAGTGGCATTCAGATTTTTGTCTTCATTGTTCAAAAAGTTTCAACTTCAGTAAAAAATCTTCTATTTTTACGTTCTGTTCCTAAGTACAACTTAGCAAAATTTCTCCAAACAAGTTTTCGTATCCAAACAATGTCTCAAAAGTTCTCTGGAAAAAGATCAATTTTTATTGCATTAGTATTGTAAGTAGCAGTCGAATTTATGTTTTTTCTCCAAGATTTTTTCTGTTCTGACTGCCTTCGAAGTGAATTTCTCTCTTTGATTCCAAGCTCAACTTAGGCAAAAAATGCCTTCAAACTAAGTGTAAAACTATGACTCGTCTAATGCGTATTTCAGCTCAGACCCACACTCTCGACAGCTCACGAATGTCATAATATATTTATACAAAGTAGCCAAATCTAATACAGCGTTGCTTTTGAGACATGAACGTCAAGACCTACTTCGATCTTGAGCTTGTTCCGTTGTGAGCTTGTGTTTTCGTTTGTTTTCAACTTACAGTGACGCAGAAGAGCCTAAGGTGCTTTGCAAAGATTGTATAAATACCAAAAATGTACGGTGCAAGCAGTAATAACAGCTATTGGAGTATCATTTTCCTCAGGAGTAAATATCATTATTTGTTTAGAAATTCGTCATCTAAAAGAGTAGGTAGTTTTATAGTCAGTTTTTGGCGTAATAACGGAAATACTACCTCAGGTATCAATTATCTTTGCTTTACAGATGTTCAGAAATTTTGCGCATTTTACTCAAGCAATCCCTGTTTTCCATTTTCTAGTCAAAAATATGTTGCCTTTCTTCAAGTCATTTATCCTTGCAATGATTGTACTCTGATCATTTTGGGAACCTTCCTGCATCGTTTCTTTCTCGTTTCTATTCCGCCCCTTTTCCTCACCCCTCCATTTGCCAAAGAAGATCTCAGACCATAACAATAAACCCGTAAAATCAACTTTTCACTATACAGCTTTACGTGACTCCCAAAAATTTATTGCTAACACTGGTTTACACCATTTGAAGTACATCTCACACTATATGCATACCAAAGACACCAAATGCTTATCACCAGTAGGAAATATTTTAGATTCCACAGGCTTTGCAACGAAAATCACTGCTAAAAATAGTGGAGACCAATTTCGAACTCGACGCACTAGGCCAGAAATAGTTTTACGTTTCGCTGACTCATGTAGACAAATATTGGTTAGTGCATATGATGACGTAAAGTGCGCTACAAAACATAAGCCGCTACGTCTTAAGTAAGTACTTTTTTTATGCGTAGTGAAATCATATTTCAGAAAACGTGCCAGTAAGGAAAGTCATTGCTGGACATTGTGCAATCTAGAGCGAAACTACACTGTTATTTTATTTCTGCATATATTTTTATTTTATTGAAAATTTTCAATCCGCTATCACATGGCTTAAGTTAAGACGATCTTTGGATTTCGTGTTTTCAAATGTGTAGCATGGGGAGGGGCTGTAGCACTCAGCTCATATTAATTTCTCTCTACTCGGTTCCAGACACTGTTGCTTTCTTTCCCTGTTGCTTCGTAGGTCTACCATGTCAAAAGATGGACTTTACCAAAAGTAGAGCAACGAACAACCATCAAGCGTCACCGGGGATGACTAATTCTTTCGCTCAAGCTATTGCACATCGCATAAGGACCAGTTGACCACGGAGGCGCAGCGCCTAATTACGGTAATCGCTCCTGTACTCTTTCACCAGCTGCATGATTATCTGTTGTTGCAAAATTCAAGTTCACAGTAGGTCAGCGTCCTAATGTGCAAATGTATATCCCAAAAAATTGAATAAAAAAGGTCCCACGGCGTTGGTTCCGCCCTTCTTCGTGCAGTAGTGAGTGCATCATCACGCTACCTAGCACTGACACTACACGTGCACCCTTTTAGAGCAAAAAAAGCGTCAATTATTTCTAATTCATTGCCTACCGTAACCCTTGGGGAATAGCCTAAGAAGAAAGCTATGCAAAGCAATTATCAACAGCTTCTATACTGATAAGTGTGATAACATTGATAGAGCTATTACATTCGCTTGTTTATTCCAACGCAGCTGCTGCCTCATATCTTTTAGCATTTTGCTTTGAAATAATTCCCTCTTTTTCTTCCATGTCTGATTTTCCTTGCATTCATGTTTTTTCTTCAATTTTAAGAACTGATCATTCACGTCACAATAGCTTTTTCTATTGCAAGAAAGAAGTCGTTGCTATTCATATTGATTTTATCGATTTGTTACACGTAATTATGACATGCAAGTCCGTACCTAATTTCTTTACTTTCCAGATGCAACTCCTCGCCGTCTCCCTACTGCTCTTCCTTCCACTGCTCGCGCTCGCCGACTGCGGTTGCGGTGTCAAATGTGCCATTTACTCCGGTGCCGACAAATGTACCCGATGCTGTACGGCTACTGTAAAACGAAGCCTCGACTATTTAACCCCACAAATTTCCCATCGCTTCCTTCTACCTCCCATACCATCAAGCCGTATTCGTATTCCTATGTGGCTTCAACCCGCAGCCACCATTCGACCAGCTTCGCATATTCTGAAACATCGACGCCATCGTCGACCAGCTCGTCTGAGCATTTTGGACGAGATTCTCGTCGCTGCTACCAAATCACGCAAGTACTCCTAAAGGATCCGCTAACAATTCAGCTGTCGCATCAGTCTACTCTGTCAACAAGGATCTAAACGAAGCACAGATTTAACATTGTCTCTACAAACACTGACAATGAATCACTCTGCTATTGTCATCTGTGTCAAATCATCTGTTATTTCTGTGCATATCGATTTACGGACTGTGACAACGCTGTGAGCAAGCAACTAGGTGCCAATTGTTTAATTTATCGGGACTACGTGTCGTACCATTAACTTATTGTTGATGCGGGTATTTTGCTTGAATTGTTTGGTGATGATCTGCGTGGCTGGGGTGGGTACCCTTCATTTGAGGCAAATCTGAATATCCGGGTTTCTTATGTTGAAACCGATTGGGAGGTACTAGATAAGCCATTGCCCAAGCAGCAGCTCAAATAAATCATTCACGGCCAAGAAATGCAACTCCAAACTCCAGCCCAAACCGTATATTCTGACGTAACCGAGGGCGCTGATTGGTCCGCTGGAAGAAATACGGCTTGGGCTGGACTTTAAAATTGATTTCTTGTATGAATAAATTGTATAAGCTGCCGACTGGAAAAGAGCTTAGTTAGATATTTCTCCCTTTGAGGATCCAGGTACCCAGATTTGCCTTTATGGGTACCTCCCCTATTTCTCACACTGCCAGTAACCAATATTTGGTCTACATGTCTCAGCTTTATGTGCTAGTTAGTATGGTATGTTCAGTTTCACATTCATCATCATCAAATAATGCTTTGATGATCTTTCCATAGGCATAATAACGCATTTATTCATGTCTATCGTTAATAAATTGTTACAAATTTGATTTGTTGTTCGTTTCCAGCGCAAAACCTCTCAGAGGCAGACTTACAACACGTCATTTGAGATCATAAGATGAATATGGTAATTAAATAAGCACCTAGACGTCATTCGACAATTGGGTACATATTTCGATAGAAACCACGTTTAGTAACATATTATGTCATGCACGTATGCGCTTATTACGGTATGAGGAGAAAACTCAATCACGTGTCTAGTCAAGGAATTTCGATGTGCCGAGACCTTTGAAGTGATCCGATATGTTGCATACGGTACGATGGAGGTGATGTGAGAGTCTGGCGACGAATACCAGTGCAATGAGCTTTCCGTTGATTACGGTTCCGGTTACCTGAACATCCAAGAGGATTATTTGGGCAAGATTAAGAGAAAGTAGCAATACGCTTGATAGACTCACGATACCGGTGAAAAACTAAAAAAATCAGGTTTCCACAAAAAAGCAGATTGACATTTTTAAAAAATGGGCTTCGTGTTCACGGAATGCGGTGATGAGGAGCTAGGAGAAAATTTCTGTACAGGCATTATTTCTCGTCTTCAAAGACTCCGAAAAGGAACCAAAAAGGTTTTTTCATCAATCTTTGTCAAGCCTCCAACAATCGCTTTTTCTCTAGAAATTGAGGTCAGTCACTATTCAACTTAAAGAAAGGGTCTAGGAAAATCTGGTCCACTTGGGTTCTTTGAGCATATTTAATCGAGAGGGCTTCATCAAGCTATTATTCCAAAGCCAGCCTACATAATTCACTCGTGGCGGAGAAATTCGAATCCAAACTCCAGCCGACACCCTACTTTCTACCCTACTCAAGAATGCTGATTGGTCCACTTGGAAGAGTTATGGTCTGGATTGGAGTTAAGGCTCGAATCTCTTGGTCTCGACTGAATGGTACAAGCTACTGCTTGGGCATTTGCTCAGTTAAATCCCAGCAACCGTTCAAGAAGTGCATCCAGATACTCTGATTGTGAATTGCCTCTAACACAAATAAAATTTGTCAAGGTAAAATTCAAATCGGAGCAAAAATCTGAAAAATATCTAAAAGCCACTCACCAGATACAATGTGTACAGTAGCGTTGCAAGAGAATTCAAAACTATGTCAGTGATTCTCTTCGACATGTACACACGTCTTTGAAATGCTTCCGTTTCTCGTACGGAAGCATCTGGTACCATTTGCCACCATCCTATCCGATAACCCACGTAAATACTTCGTACAAGCACACTTATGGCCTAAAGAAATTCTCACTTCGGGGCCGACACATCTTTTGATTGCTTCACAATTCCTCACCTCTACAACAATCATCATTGAATACATAGGGTGCATCACTTTGAAAGAAGTAAATCCAAATGAGATCAGAGCCGTCGAAGTGAATAAGCAGGCGGTCAGCAAGAGAAGCAACCGTTTCATCAACAAGCCATGCTCCGATTCTTCCTCAGTGAAAGTGGAGTCTTTTGTATGTTTTTCCTTGTTTGGCTTTTTCTTCGATTTTGCTTGCTTCTTCTTCTCGTTTTCTGCATTATCCTCTTTGAGATTGATGCCAATAATCTAAACAAAACGAATATAAAAAGCCTTGAGCTGGAGTCATATGGTATCATATAATTCCGGGATTTAGTCGGATAAGTCAGAAAGAATTTGACATTAAGTCGTTTGAAAAATATCTTGAAACCAATTCCTTGGCCAGTGTACAGCATCTACAGCAAACAAACATTAACATTCAAACCTCGCTCAAATAGTGAAGCCAAGAACGTAGTAAAAATAACAGCAATTTTTACTTGCGAAAGTTGTATAGTAATCCCTTGGAGGTTCTTGTGAACAACTTCAAGTTTCACGATTCAGCATCGGTACCTACCATGGCGGGCCGAGTTTTTTTTTAGTGAGGGAAGTGGAAGGTGACAAAATTCCTTCCGAACGCATGATGTTAACCACACGAAAAAAATTTCGGGGTGTGTTTCCAGATTTGTTTGAGAGCTTATGACCCTGGAACTTTTAAAAAAAGAGAAAGTTATTATAATTATTAACGAGTAGAAGAAATTCGCAATCTTGGCGGGGGGGGGGAGGGTATTACTTAGTCACAGTGCCATTTCGCTGACACATAGCAGTCATCAAAAATTGCAGAACAGCAGCCGAATACAGCGTGTCCCTAGGGATTTTACTAATGTAATGTTCGATCGTTGATAACTCTCTTGCCTTTTTGTCTCTCACGGGTCGCAAGGTAGTATAATGTATGCAAAATTCCTTTGAACTTGAAATTCCAAAATAAAACGAATTTCAACGATTGCTCTTAATTGCTGTAGGAATACGCTAGAACTTCAACGAGTTGTATCTCTGACTCATGAGAGCCAAATCATGTAGCGACAGCTGAAAGCAGCAACTCCATCAAGCGGAAATCATCGCTAGTTTCGTAATATTGATCAGAAGTTACATCAAATAAAATGGGATTGACCAAATGCTTTTCAAAAGATTCTAAAAAATTTGAACATAGCGCGTAGATAGCACACAGTCCTACAAAACTTCAAACTGCCGTGATCAATATGCTCAAAGAATTTGTCAAAGCAGTTTTGGAAAATGCACATTTTAGGCATTTAATGCACAGTGAACTAATGCGCTGAAGTTGCTACCGTATTCGCACAGTAACAGTAATGAAGAGAAGCGCTGATGCTCCCCATACTGTAAATCTAGGTTGAAGCCATCTTTTGGCACAACTTTGAATCAGCGAAAATTTTCTCAGCATGGAATTTTAGGCATATGTGGATCTATAGTGTGTTTCTCCGACATAATTTTGTCTTCCTAAAAACAACATAAGAATTTCTGGCCGACAAATGTCAATGCTCTCCAAAAATCGCATGTTGTTACCGAAATTGATGACTTGTGCACCGGATACGATTCTTTATCTTTACTCATTGAGCAATCAAGTTCACGAACGACGCCAGCAGCTTGGTGATACGACGAGCATGGCCGCAGTGTGACGCAAATAGAAATATTTATAGCCACATGTTGATCAACGAGGAGGAACTTACAAACTTCAACACAGTCAGACGATATAAAAAAAGCAATTTGTGTAAAAAATGCTCAAATAGAATACTTTGCTGCTGCTGCAATATTGTTTCTAAAGCTGTACAAGTGTTCTTTTTGAGCATTCTGTGTTTCTGCTGGAAAAGAAATAGAAATAGGATTGTATTTCATGTTACAAGTTTCGTATTAGTTATCGTTAAGGAAGGGTTTTCCTAAAAAAAATTTTGTAAACGAAAGGCATGAAATTGCTTACCATGCTTACGACTGAGATGACATCTAATAAGAATCGAGGGAAAGGGAGAAAATTAGAGGAGAACACTATTCAGAATGCCTGAGATGTAGTAATGCAAGCAAACTGTTTTTTATTTGCTAAAAATTCAATGTTTTTATGGGCAGTACGACTTTCCTTTACGCAAGTGAAAGAGAACTCAACAGCAATTCGCTATCGCAGTCAGAATGCTCATAGGGGAATTGCATTTACGAAATAAGAAAGACGGAATGTGGGAAATCAAATCTGTCGAATCAAATCTTGTTGCAATTTTCAAGTTTTTTTTTAATTGGGTATATCACCGATAGCAAGAGTTTGCTGATTTCTGATTGAATCATACATGGCACAATCCTGAAAGGTTACTTATGGATTACCTTATCTGCTTTAAGGCTTCACTTCACTGTTTTTACAATATAATCAGTTTTTGCATGCAGATCACGTTATCAAGGTTTTAAGGGTGGAGTTATTCCACCACAAATCAGAGAATACATAAGCTCCACAAGTACGCTACTGTAGTGCAATTAAACCGTAGCTTAGGGTTGATATCGGCAATCAGATTCTTACGGTTTATGGGAAAAAAGTCTGTTCAACAAATAGTTAACGGAACCAAGGCGGTGAGAGGGGAATAAGTGAGATACGGGGGGGGGGGGAAGAGAGGAGGGAGAAATCGCAGCAAAAATGCTATCTGAGAAGCAGAGAAGAAGTTCTACATAAGAGAGAAGGACTTCAATTATGTACTCCCCACACTTCTGCCTTCCTCCTGTCTATGGATACCTCCCCCCTTCCCCCTTCCTCTCCCAATACTGCCTCTTGTTCCGCCATTCCTTAGAATATCTGATACACAGCAACATAACCACTTTTTTCTCGCCTACTACATCACACCCACACATTCATTTCCTGTACTAAAATCACTATCAGCGTGTCCGGGGATTAAGCTACAGACCGTCGTATCACCAGAAGATAAGAAGCAACCACAAAAAATTGCGCACGGCTTTGTTTTGCGAGTCGATTGCACAAGGTTGCTGCAAAATGTCGCATGTCGAAAAGATGAACAACAAACATCAGTGATTGATTCGTATCGATAAACAGAAACAGTTATGAGCGACTTTATGTCTATTCAACAGTTATAGCTGTGAGCAAAGAATAAATTGCTTAGAGAATGCATAGATAACCACTCCTAATATAGACTATGACACATTCCGAAAAGGGGTTTTCCCGTGAGGTCCATGTGACCAGGGAAACCCCTAGCAACGAAAAGCTTTGTTTGCTTACAGAAAGAACAGGTGACGTTTCTGCATTGGTACTGGAGCGCTGCTACTCTTATACATGAAAGATTGTGGATAGTATCAATCATTGTCTCTTCAGTCCAAAGAGACCTTTGAATCTTGTACCGCTCACCTCATAGGGATAGAATGAGAAGGTGGGGGAAGGGTGAAGAAGAAGAAGAAGTTTCAAGGATGGATGCGGTGGTGGATAAAGGGCCCCGCCATAGGCGTTGATCATTAAATCAGTTCATCTTGATCACGTACTCTGTAATGTGGCTGCTACAAATAAGATCACCCCGTTTTCAGTTTTGTTGCTTTATCATAGTTCCTCTTGTTTCCGGTCTTGTCCGGCATGAAAATTTTTGATTATTCTGTCTTCAAGCCAATCGCCTCGACTTCAGCATCCCTAGCTAATACTTGACGTAGGGCCCAATTGAACAATGTATGAGCAGGCCAAGAAGGCATTTGTTTTGACTTGTATTATAACATTGCATATGGCTTTAGAAAGTACTAAGATACTCGCACTGGGACCGCTGGCAAACTTCAGCTTCTAGGGAAGGTGCTGTGAATTTCGTGCAAGGACCTCGGTCATAAGAGACATTCATTCTACGAATTTACCTTCACAACGTCGCGTTAGAGCGTGAAAAAGAAAGAGGTGATCTAATGTAGCTTAGTAGGAACTAGGAGTGGTCAGTCAAGCAACAAAAGTTATTTATCAAGCATTCAAAATTCTTGCAAAATGCGCGCAAGCACAAGCAATATTTAGAGAGGCAAGCTGAGTCAGCGAACAGTATATAAAAGCAGCGGCCTTTTACAAGGATAAGCAGCTACAAGTTACATACAGCGACTTTTTACCCAATGTCGCAGATGTTCGCCGCGATGACGTTGGAGGTAGAGGTTTTGCCTACATCGAAAGGGTTAGAGGATTTCCTGTTGAAAGTTTGAATAAGTACGGCGGTTTGAGGGTACAAGAGTTTCCTTATACCGGGGGTGACCCCAAAGCAGTAGCGCAAGCTTTGCCAAGAAGAATAAGGGAAGGAACTTTCGAAACTTAGTCAAAGCCTTGACGAATACGAAGTGCACTACGCAAGTCAGACGCTGTTACATGCAGTTAAACCGTATGAGGATGGGCAGAGACCTCGCATCCTACTGCTTGAAGCTCGAGAAACTAACTCAGAGGGCGTACGTGATGCGCCGATACGGAGCTTTTGAATAAGAAAGCTGGTTTCCCAGCCGGCAAGGTGCCCAGAATATCTGCAATTCTACACGGCTATGGGTTCCTTCATACTACGCCGCTGCAGTCGCAGTGAAAATATAAGCTTGCTCGCTGTGAAGGAATACTCTCGGAGAACACTAATGTGCAGGAAATTTAGAGATATATCCATAACCGCCTTCACTACGACTGCAGCGGCGCACGTCGCAGCAGGCCTGTCCTGCAACATTTATGGAGGAACCTTATGGAAACCGCTCCCATAAAGCGCCTATGAACTGATGAAGGTCATGTTTAGAGATATGAACGCAGCAATGTCGAGGGAGCGATTAGGCTGACTATCGCGTTATACAGTGGTGTGAAGCAGATTATAGCAATTTTGAAATGGCGGAAGGTGTTGACATGACTCTTAGTCCAAACGCACTGCCAATGCTAGATTCTCCCTGGCCACGAGAAGCATTCAAAAGACGAGGACAGAGCGAACGCATCCGAGTGAGAGACGCCGAAAGGTTCTTTCATACTACGCCGCAGGACGCGGCGCAGCGTGCTACGGCTCCCCGTTGCAGTCGCATTGAAAATATAAGCTGTTCGCTTTAAAAGACCCTCGCAGAATACAATGTGCAGGAACTATAGAGATACATCCATAACCGGCGACTGTGCTGCCGTGAGCGTATATCTTCACTGCTACTGCAGCGGCGCACGCTGTAGGACGGTGCGTACTGCTGCGTTCTGCGGCGTAGTATGAAGGAACCCGAAGAGGAGGTTGAAGAAGCAAAACAAAGGAATCTGCTAGAAATTTTACCACATCGTTGGATAAGTAACTGAATAAGCCGACTTGCACTTTCGCAATTACAGCATCACGCCGGAATAAGGTGGAAAAGGAAATGACCACAAGGATGCGTCTGCTTGAACCATCGCTTGAAACAGACACAATCACTCTGGAGCACCATTCCTTCAGACTGTTCCAAGCAAACTTGAGAACGGTTTTGACTTGGAGCATGGCGTGGAAGAGATTGTGACAAACAAAATCTAGAATCTGTGACGCGCTTGGAGATGCCCTGAAGTTCAAGAGAGCGTCAAGGTCACGCTGCAATTAGAAAATGATGTTAAGCACCAGAAGTAGATTTCTTGGTCAGAGCGGGAAGATTGGCAGATTGTTCTTGGGATAAACGCGAAGTTTAGACTTCCCATGGAATGTCTTCGGAACATCTTGGAAGCAAATATATACAACGCATGGATTGTTCACGGCATTACCCCGAAAAGAAGGAGTAAACAGAGAAAAGAGTTTGATGTCGTCGAGACCTCAAAGAGGCCTGTAGAAATAAAGTGATATTATCAGGGGAAAGAGCTATTCACTCAGAATGCGCAAAAGTCGATTCTACTTTAGTGCGTTGCTCTAAGATCACCTCCGTTGACTTGGCAGGGGCCAAGCTTGCTTTGTAGGGAAGGAGAGAGAATCGCGAAAACCTATGCAATCTGCAGAGCAACAGCCTGGAAGAACTAGAAGAGGCAAGTCGTCAAAAGTCGCCGTAAGTCAACAAGTAAGGAATTGAACATAGACGTGCATAAAAAAACATGCAAAAGGCATGTAAATAAAGGCATGTAGATAATTGAGTCTGATGTGGCCTCACTGTGTAGAGACACGAAAATTGCTGTCGACCTCTTGATATTATTCCGTCGATGGATGCATGGACAACCTCCTCGATGTTTAGAAGATTGGTTCGATGCGGGTATTCAAGCTGTATATGAGCCATTAGTGTTGAAACAGTGCTCCTTCTATGGATGTGGGAGAAGACCTATCGTCTTCGTTGTGCGCCATGGATGAAGTAGTGTTGTCAATACACAAGTCACAAGTCGGGACAATTCTTACCGTAGAGGGGTGTGTCGAGAATGAACACCGTGGCAGATGAAGGTTCTTGCTACAAGCAATGATCGTAAAATCCAATGATCGTAAAACAGTTATGACCACGTACTTGTACCGTGGTGGCAATAAATAAGGCCGCCCGGCCGTTGTTTAGTTGTATTGCTTAACAGTTTTTGTTGTTTCGGCCTTCTCCGGCATAAGCTCTTTAATTCCACTGTCTTCATGCCGGACGTACCCAGCGTCAGCATCCCCAGCTGATGCGTTACAAGAGCCGTGTTTTGAATACTCAAACTTTGGGTGCATGCAGTGGGAGTCCGAGAATTTTTGGAGGGAAAGGCACAAATGTTCTTAAATAAATGGCTAATGCTAAGCATGCAGCTTCCCCAAACAATATGTGGGCTGCCTTTCAAAAATTCACACGCCTATACCCGAAATTCTAAGTGAACCAAACCACTTCATATAACCCATGTAGACTACTCTTGAAACAGATTTCACAACCCACTGTCAAAGGGAGGGGAGAGGGAGCGTTTAGTTGGTCCGGCACTAGCATCTATATATGTGTACGAGGAAAACTTGGAAAAAATCACAGAATCTTCAAGAAACGTGGCGTTAGCCACCTCTTCATTTAAAAAGAAAAAATTCTGCCTTCCAGAAAAAACCTCGGCCACGGGTTTTGTCCTATAGAATGAGAAAACAAATCAGCAAAGCTGTTGATCCTCCAAACAAATCTATCTCAAACGAAGCAACCTGTACTTGGTTTCCTCCAAGTGATAAACTTAAGAACTCGACTATACGTTGCAGACCGCGCGTAACCGGCTCAAGTTCGTTTCAACTCACTAGCTCGAATCGCTGATTTGCCGCTGTCGTCACTGACGTCACTGACCATACGACAATGAACCATATCGCAAACACCGACGCATCCGTGACACGATGAGACCAATCAAAAATCGACACTCTCCTCGAACTGCTGAAAATTGAATATCCTGACGGAAGGAGTGGGGAGGACCAAACATAGAATTCTTCGACGCACAATGTCAGTTTGTCGTTTACTTGTGGGTTTCTGACAATCACATAGGCAAGCATCAGAAGCTTCTCTATTACGAAGCGTCTGTAAAGCGAAAGATGATATGGGAAGCTAAGCAAGATAATCAATCTTCAGTAAGTACAATATAAAATTATGATAATAAAGTAGGTTAATCCTCAAAAAATATGTATTATGAGTTATGATAATGGGAATTATACATTTGAATTTTATTTTTATTCTTGTTTCAGTGCATCTGTGAGTGCTCTCAATCATCATCAGAGGGCTTTGTAAAGAAACAAACATCAATATAGCACGATCATTGTCAGTCACGCCGAGACTTTGAAAAGTACCAATCATTGACACTGTCTAAAGTGAACCAGTATAAAAATCTTTCAACTGCGCACCTTATGTTTTTTTAGAAAAAGAACTCTCCTGTATCTAGAGGCCAAGCGGGGCTATGGTCAGAGCTTACCATGGAGGATGCAGTAAGTTTTTGAAACAATCATAACTTATAATAACGGGCTAAGGGTTGTAAGGGTTGTTTACGCGCGCGCTGTGTGTGTGTGTGTGTGTGTGTGTGTGTGTGTGTGTGTGTGTGTGTGTGTGTGTGTGTGTGTGTGTGTGTGTGTGTGTGTGTGTGTGTGTGTGTGTGTGTGTGTGTGTGTGTGTGTGTGTGTGTGTGTGTGTGTGTGTGTGTGTGTGTGTGTGTGTGTGTGTGTGTGTGTGTGTGTGTGTGTGTGTGTGTGTGTGTGTGTGTGTGTGTGTGTGTGTGTGTGTGTGTGTGTGTGTGTGTGTGTGTGTGTGTGTGTGTGTGTGTGTGTGTGTGTGTGTGTGTGTGTGTGTGTGTGTGTGTGTGTGTGTGTGTGTGTGTGTGTGTGTGTGTGTGTGTGTGTGTGTGTGTGTGTGTGTGTGTGTGTGTGTGTGTGTGTGTGTGTGTGTGTGTGTGTGTGTGTGTGTGTGTGTGTGTGTGTGTGTGTGTGTGTGTGTGTGTGTGTGTGTGTGTGTGTGTGTGTGTGTGTGTGTGTGTGTGTGTGTGTGTGTGTGTGTGTGTGTGTGTGTGTGTGTGTGTGTGTGTGTGTGTGTGTGTGTGTGTGTGTGTGTGTGTGTGTGTGTGTGTGTGTGTGTGTGTGTGTGTGTGTGTGTGTGTGTGTGTGTGTGTGTGTGTGTGTGTGTGTGTGTGTGTGTGAATCTCTGTCTGTCACAAAATTCGTAAAGCGAACTCCAGTAAAGGTCTTGAGCTAGAATTTCGGTGGTAGCACCACATTAGCATTCAGGTGAAGTATGCAAAATCTCAAGCCCATTCGATAATTGGAACCTGTGCGCCAAACGGATCCACGCGGCATTTCGCGCGCCAAAGTGGGCCTGTAATTTGACTTTTTCCAAAGTCGGTGGTTTCGTTTAGCAAAATCCGCAAACCATGAACTCTAGCCAAGTGAGCAAAAGTTGACTTTACGCAAGATTGGCGCCAAAAAAGAAATAATTGCGTAGACGGTCGATTTGTGAAGGTTCTACCTGGGAATGTGAGAAAATTTTTGCGCAGCAATGTAACTCATGATTGTCATCATCTTTATGGCGACTATCAAGCCTTATAACCCCAGTGATTGATTCAGAATCGCATTTAATCTTTTGAAGAATACTTTCTTAGGCCCCGGACAGACTTCACGCGATTTGATCGTCGCGACTCAATCGCCGACATTTCCATTCATTTTCATTTCACATTCAAAATTTACGGGCTGGAAAAGTATCACAACCGAAATGCAAGTTGATCGGCATGGAATGATGTTGTAACATTTGTCTCGTCGCGATTCAGTCGCGACGATCAAATCGTGTGAAGTCTGTCCGGGGCCTTACCCTCACAGTCACCGATGTTACAAGAAAAAGCTTTTAGAATGAGTAGTTGTTTACATTTCATTCGTGATGATCGGTATCGCGAGGTAAGTTTCAAAGCCATCATTTTGGGACTATGAGAAAGGCATGTGGAAGTAGAGCCAGTGCGAGCCTCTGCGGAGCAGAGGTGACGCTCTGGTAAGATATATGCGAAAGAAAAAACATCCACTAGGCAAAAACTGTTTGAAAACAATCTGTTTTCAAACAGTCAAACGCCGAATCTGCGGAATTATAGCATGCAGTAGTGCGGATCAATCCTCATGTGCATGGACCTTCTTTACGACTTCCCTCTTAGTTCAGCGACAAAGCATTCTTAGCCAACTTATATACTTATATACCAGTGCGTCGCCTCTGCTTCGCAGAGGCTCGCACTGGTTCTAATATCCACATCCTTTCTTGTAGTTGCAAAATGACGGCTTTGAAACTTACCGCGCGATGCCGATCATTGCAAATGAACTGTAAAACAACTACTCATTCCAAAAGCTTTTTCGTCTACAACCGGTAACTTCGGGGGAAAGAAAGTTTTCTCCAAAAGTTCAAATGCGAGTTTCAAACAACTACTGGAGTTATAATGACTTGATAGTCGGCAGAAGGCTGATGATAACCGTGAGTTACATCTCTGAACAAAAATCTTCTCTATTTCCTGGGTAAAACCTCGACAAATCGATTATCTAAGAAATCATCCCTTTTTGGCGCCAATCTTGTTTTTGTTCAATTTTTGGGCCGGAGTCTATAATTTGCGGATCTATTTGTTGAACAAATCCACGACTTCGGAAAAAGTTCAAATACAGGCCCACTTTGGCGCGCCAAAAGTCGCGTGGATCCACTTGGCACTCAGTTTTCACAGGTTCTAATTATCGGATCGGCTTGAGCTTTTGCACACATTACCTACTTGCTGAAAGGGTGCTACTACCAAAATCCTAGCTCGAGGACCTTCGCTGGAACTCGCGCTATGAACTTCGTGACAGACAGACATTCACACACACAGACACACAAAAACACGTAAACACCTTTAGCGCGTTATTATAGTAGGACATGAAATTCAAAGCTTGTATACTGAGTATACCTCTAGAAGATATGTTAAGAAAAATAAGAATGTAAATTGTGAGAGTCTTTGAAGGGTTAACCAAGAGGCTCTAAACATAGCCTTTTATTCAACTGGATTGACGCTAGAAGGAGACCGCCCGCACCCGCGACGCAGTCCGTTTCTCTCGCGAGCGTGCTCTCCGATCATTCCAAAGCCTTGCTTAGGCCTCGAAGCTCCGCCTTGCAGCTGCGAATCCCGTTGAACATAAAGGTACACATATGTTTTTCACCCAGACGCACACTAGAGGCTAGCAACAAATTATCAAGCTCTTCTATCGAATTATTGATTTGTTTACATACATTTAAAAGAATGAAGGCCAGTAGCCACAAAAACACTCCTTTGTACTGTAATTCGCAGCGGTATGCCCCATTCTGAGTTTCCACAAGACAAGCGCAGTAAAAAAAGTGCATCTGAGGCTGGTTTTCATATACGTGAAAAATGATGTATGCTTTTGTTTGGTGTGCGTGCAAGCTTTCCCATTTTCTCGAAAAGAGCAAGTACGTTTTTGAGGGAAACGGCCCTTTTGAACCGCTATCACGGCGCGCCTCTGATTGGTCAACATGTCCAATGCCATAACAAGTTAATACTCGCTAATTTTTGAACATCCTTCATGTCCAACATGATGATAGGTTTTGACACAGGTAATAGTATTACGTGCTTCAAATCAAACTAAGAATTTTGCCCACTGACTGTAAATGCGACTTGTTAGCTTTGCCAGCGGCGCCGCATGCGACGAAACGAGCATCGCGCGCGAAGGGTTTAAAAGGGCCTACACCCAGAGGTGCGATAGGGGGAGCCGGGTCCCCCAAAAGTGAAGGTGGTTTCAGCTACCACTGGCCGGCCAAAAGTGAAGGTGGTAGTGTTGGACACTCACCTCCCAAAAACGTCGACGGGGGGGGGGGGGGGAGGTGCGGGGGGAGGATAGAACGGACGAACGGAGCTATCTTTCTAGGTCTAACGTCGACCCAACGGCCCTAGGGCCACAGATACGATGAATATTAAAAATTTCCATAAATTTTATTTATAAAAATTTAAAATAGACGTGTTTAGTAAATGGTGTATTTGGAAGTAGAAGTTTGTTGGACTGTACGGATTTTATTAAGCAAATTTTGTTATAACGTACAGCGAAGAAAGTAGATTGATCCAGGCAGTAACGGCCGAGAATCAGAATTTCGAATAAATAAATAGTGAAAAATCATGCAAAATTTCCACTGTTATAAATCTGTTGTTTGAAGATGTCAGCAGTTGCGACTTCATAGGTTTTAAAGAGTAAATGTTGCTCTATCAGCTAGTGAAGGAATCTGGTCGATTTAAGAGATAGTCGTTGAAAACCAGAGTTCTAAAACTTTACGCCATTTTTGCGTGTTTTTTGACTTTTGAGAGTTAAACTCTTATAAATCTTGAATGTGAAAGTGTGTGATGTTGCGACTTCATAGGTTTTATAGAGTAAGGTTTGCCTTATCAGAATATGTCTTGTCCGTTCCGATCCATTGAAACACCTCCGAGATCCAGGCTCTTGAAAAAGCAGGTAAAAAACAGCTTTTTGAACTTCAACAGCTCGTAACTTCTTCAGAACTGCATGAATCATGTTGCGACTTCATAGGTTAGATTCTTCTCATCAAGAGCTTTCAGATGATATATAATATGTGGGGGTTTAGAGCCTCCTGCGAATTATGACCGGGGGGGGGGGAGACTTTTCAGGCCAAAGTCTCCCCCTCGCCCATTTTAATGTATTGGCTGGATGGGCGAGGGGGAGACTTTGGCCTAAAAAGTCTCCCCCCCGGGCATAATTCGTAGGAGGCTCTAAACCCCCACATATTATATATCATCTGAAAGCTCTTGATGAGAAGAATCTAACCTATGAAGTCGCAACATGATTCATGCAGTTCTGAAGAAGTTACGAGCTGTTGAACTTCAAAAAGCTGTTTTTTACCTGCTTTTTCAAGAGCCTGGATCTCGGAGGTGTTTCAATGGATCGGAACGGACAAGACATACTCTGATAAGGCAAACCTTACTCTATAAAACCTATGAAGTCGCAACATCACACACTTTCACATTCAAGATTTATAAGAGTTTAACTCTCAAAAGTCAAAAAACACGCAAAAATGGC